GGGAAAGAGACGAAGATGGCGGTGGCGGCCTTCGGGCAGTTGAATCTGGAGGAGCCTCCACCGGTGTGGGGATCTCGCAGCGTCGATTGCTTCGAGAAGATCGAGCAGATTGGTGAAGGAACTTACGGGTGTCGTTTTCGATTCTTTTATCGCTTCCTTCTTTTTTTTGCCGTTCATCGAAGTGATTTGGATTTTGGGTATTCGCGCATCGTCAATTTCGGGATTGTTCGTCGCGTAATTCTTATTCGAGAGCTGTTGTTTCGTGGATTTTCTACGAGGGTTTCGGTTCGGCTGGTTTAGTATATGTCCTTTCGAAAAATCGTTTGCGAAATTTTAATTCTTTGAAGATATGGGTATTCCTAATAAACGTTCTTCAGATTTTTAAGGTTTATGTATAGTTAGCGTATGGTTGGGTAGATTATTGAACTGTTGCTTTGCCATATTTGATTGAGCATGATTTTCTTCTTCTACTGATTCCAAGTTAGGGTTTCTGAAGTGTGGAAGCTGTCCTTTTGAATCTATTTGTTTACCTGTTTGTTCTTGCAGTCAAGTGTACATGGCCAAGGAAATCAAAACTGGTGAAATAGTGGCTCTGAAAAAGATCCGTATGGACAATGAACGAGAGGGGGTATGTTCCTTTCAAATCGCTATCGATCAACCAAGTGTTTTATGAGGTGTGGCATTATGCAACGGCTAAAACCCTTATTGCGATTGGCGTGCAGTTTCCTATAACAGCTATTCGGGAGATAAAGATTCTCAAGAAGCTTCATCATGAAAATGTCATTAAGCTGAAAGAGATTGTAACTTCTCCAGGTACAGAAGTTACTTCTCTCAGGTGTTAGACAATTCAGATATATCCTTAAAGAAGCTCGGTATTTGATTCTTTGTTTCTTTGCAAATTGTTCTCTCTTATAAGGTCGGGACAGAGATGAGCAAGGGAAGCCAGGTTAGATGACTTCTTACCTATAGTATAGTAGCAGTGAACCCGGGATATTCTCAATTGTATCTGTGCTCCCAAAATGGTAGGTTAAATTTGCTGTCGTTGGAATTGTAGATAATAACAAATACAAAGGTGGGATCTACATGGTTTTTGAGTACATGGATCACGATTTGACGGGACTTGCTGATCGTCCCGGTCTGAGATTTACAGTTCCCCAGATCAAGGTATTTCATTGATAGGGAGCTTGTTATGCATATAATCCTTTGCATACCCTATTGTTCGACCTTGTCTGACATTCAGCCTTAAAAAGTGTTACATGAAGCAACTGCTCACTGGGCTTCATTATTGTCATGTTAATCAAGTACTTCACCGTGATATTAAAGGTGACATTCTCAAATTGGTAGTTT